TCCAGCAGCTGTTGCTTGATCATCTCGTGGGCCACCTGCACCACGGCATTGCAAAACTCGAGGGCGTTCATGAAGAGCGTCAGCTCTGGGATCTCTGTCACATCGTCCGGTGTGATTCGATGCCAGTCAATGGAGCTGATCTCAATGCTGTTGGGCAGACGTGAATAGAGACCGCCCAGGCCGGTCACCAGCAGCGGGCAGATCGAGGAGTACTGGGCTATGTACGTGCCAATGTTGGAGTTCTTCTGCGAGAGCGCCATGCACAGAAGCAGGGCATCGCGGGCCTGATGGCCCAGACTGCCCTCTCGGTGCACGTAAGGGATAAGCAGTGAGAAGATGATGAAACTGCAGGTACAAGAAATCAATAAATAATAATAGCCATAAGATAATTGAAGCAAGTTTAATGCCGTCACCATTTATGAGTGTACTATTACAAGGTCAATTTTTTGTAGCCTTGCCTTATCAAGCTATCGTCGCTATTTAGGTTGATGAATCATAACAAAAAATATTAGTTCAACGCTATTATATTAAGCAATTTAATTAAGAATTTTCGTAAATTTCAAAAAGCTTGATAAGGCCTTAAAAAAATTAGCTTCTTTGCTCACTTGGTTGTGGTTCCACTTTTGGGCTGCGCCACATTGCCATTTAATATCTGCTCCTGGACTTGCGTCTGGGCGGAGAAAAAGAAGAGGTCCAGCAGGTGGACATTCTGCATGAGAACCACGCACAGCTGGTTCAGCAGGATAACGAGCCGCTTTTCGAGATCTGGAGGAAAGATCTCACCCTGGCTGGAGGCCAGTATCTTGAGCAGGGGTCGCAGGAAGGGCTCGTGGCAGAGCAGCTGATGTCGCGAGTGGCTGACGAGCAGTTCGTACAGCTTCAGCTGCTCCAGCCTCACAGCGTTGGCATAGCGTCCTGTGGTGCAGGCCCACTCGTACAGCTTGTCCAGCAGATTCTCGCTGAGCAGGAATTCAAGGCAGGGAGCCGCGGGCGGACCACTGGACTCGGCCGCCGGCAGCGAGACCTTGTTGCAGTGATGCAGTTCCACGAGCAGCAGGGTGACCATGTAGTCCAGATGGGACACGACGCCCAGGACGTCGTCGTGCGAGGGCGGAGCGCTGTGCTGGATGATCTCGAAGGCCTGCTGCCAATGCTTGCAGAAGCTGTCGTAGCAGGCTCGCGGATCGCAGTCCGTGGCGGCGTCGATGGGACGCTGCCGAAGTGGGCCGCCGTGTCCGGCGGAGGCAACGCCCCCGCCGCTGCTCTGGCGCAGCCACATCGCTTTCGGAATGGTAGGCGATGTGTGTATGTGCGATTCGGTGGCTTTTAGTGCCGCTGGTTCGCTGATAACTGCTTCTCCGTGTGCGTTCCGTTGGGCATAGATTGCTGGTACTTTGCTATCTCGTTTTTGTGCTTTTCTGTGTGTGGTGAGTATTTCAATGTTGCTTGTTTTGTAAATATTTAAAGGCTGAAAAAGAAAACGCAGGTTAGCAGAGTATTCGCTATTTACAATTTAGCAACAAGAACAACAAGTGCACGCCGTGACATACTTATGCACACACACCTACAGCCCACACATACATGTGTTAGTGTGTTTGTGCACACCTTTTTGGGCACTCGTTGTTGTTGTTGTTGCTGCTGGTGGTTGCTCACCTGATGAATTTGGATTTGATCGTCGTCATCGTCTTCGCTGCTTTCCGCTCTCCATGCATCGTCGTCTCGCCACGCCCATTATCACTTTGTGGCGCCCTAATTATGTAGGCTCTTACGCCTGCAGCACTTGCAGCGCTTTTTTTGGCACTTCACTTGGGCAATTACAATTACAAATACAACTAAGTGCTTGTACTTGTACTTGGTACCAACACTTCCGCAGTTTTGCGGATTAGATTCGCGTCCTTGCAGCTCGAATTTCGCGCATGTGGCGCTGTTTTTGTTGTCAACAAGGTGGAGGCAGTCCGACCCACACTCTATTGCCTCATTTTTCACTATTTTCGAGTGCAATTCTGCGTAAATATTTACAATTATCTGCACGGAAATAGAAAGTTAGAGGTGTGCAAAAACTTGTACAAAATATCGATGTATCTTGTTTATCAGAGTAGATTTTGCATTATCGAGATTTTAGGAAATCGAGATTTGGAAAAAATGTATGTTCATTATTTCTGTTCGAAATGTAACTTATTTAATGAGTTCATATGCAACATATTAATTTATTTTTATATCCCTTTTGCCGATGTATTATCGACGATATTTTGTACCATTTGTGTGACCAGACTTTTGTACTCAATCAGCTGTTTGCGGGACCGCCTTTTTAAATTCGAGAAATGGTTATCGATAACAGGTGAATCAGTTTGTGAAGGGCCATCGTAATGGTAAACAGAATAATTGTATTTGTTTATTTTAAATTTACTTGCTTTTCCTTAAAGCGACGCAGCTTGGCGCCCAGCCAACGGGGACCCCAGCGTCCCGAGTCGCGGCACTCCTTCACGCCGCCGCTGCTGAAGAAGAACAAAAGAGCCTGCCAGCAGGAATTGGAGCGGGAGCAGGAGCTGGACAGGAAGCGACAGAGCGCCCTTCGTGATGACGACAACACAGTGCAGCTCCCGCTGCCTATTCGCTTCACGGCGAACAGCGAGTACGAGCGGGCCATTGCCAAGGTGCTGTCCCGCAAGTTCAAGGTACCCATGGACAACTACATACCGGACTATGGAGGAAAAAGAGTCCTGGGCGTTCGACGCTGCGTTTCCCGGCGACCCCTGCACGATCCGCTGGCCTGCAACGCCCTGGTGCTGTTCCATCCGCCCGCCTACACGGAGCACGAGCGAATGGCCATGGATCCTACCCAGATTCTGGTCCACGTAGTGGTCGATCCACTGCTCAGCAACATCCTGCGGCCACACCAGCGTGAGGGCGTGCGCTTTATGTACGAGTGTGTGGAGGGAAAGCGGGGCAACTTCAACGGCTGCATCATGGCCGATGAAATGGGTCTGGGAAAGACGCTTCAGTGCGTCACGCTGGTGTGGACACTTCTAAGGCAGAGCCCGGAGTGCAAGCCTACGATCAACAAGGCCATTGTCGTGTCGCCTTCGTCGCTGGTGAAGAACTGGGAGAAGGAGTTCACCAAGTGGCTGCAAGGACGACTCCTCTGCCTGCCCATGGAGGGTGGCAACAAGGAGAACACCATTCGAGCTCTCGAGCAGTTCTCCATGACCTCGTCGCGACTGGGCACGCCCGTCCTGCTCATCAGCTACGAAACATTCCGCATCTACGCGGATATTCTGTGCAAATACGAGGTGGGAATGGTGATATGCGACGAGGGACACCGGCTGAAGAATAGTGACAATCTCACGTACCAGGCATTAATGGGCCTGAAGACAAAACGGAGGGTTCTGCTCTCCGGCACGCCCATTCAGAATGATCTAACGGAGTACTACAGTCTGGTGAACTTTGTGAACCCCGAGATGTTGGGATCAGCGGCCGTTTTTAAGCGCAACTTCGAGAGCAGTATTCTGCGGGGCCAGAATGCCGACTCCACGGAAGGCGAACGAAAACGGGCCATCGAAAAGACGCAGGAGCTGATAGGTCTAGTCGATCAGTGCATCATCCGACGCACCAATCAGATTCTTACCAAATATCTGCCAGTCAAGTTTGAGATGGTCATCTGCGCAAAGCTAACGCCGATTCAGCTCGAGCTTTATACGAATTTCTTGAAATCGGATCAAGTTCGCCGTAGTTTAGCAGGTTAGCCATTCTGTAATATTATTTAACCTTGAATACAATCATATTTCTTTTAAGACTGCAATGAGAAGGCCTCACTCACAGCCCTGGCGGATATTACAACCCTTAAGAAGATTTGCAGTCATCCGGATCTCATATATGAAAAGCTTACTGCACGTGAAAAAGGATTCGAGAACTCGCAGAATGTGCTGCCTAGCAATTACAAGCCAAAGTAAGTTGACATAACGTTTTCTTTTAATTGAATGGGAATTGATCTTCATGTGAATCTTTTCGTTTCAGGGATCTTAATCCAGAGTTTAGTGGCAAGTTCATGCTCTTGGACTTCATGCTGGCCGCCATACGCGCGGATGGCAATGACAAGGTGGTCCTCATCTCGAATTACACTCAGACCCTGGACTTGTTTGAGCAGCTAGCGAGAAAGCGAAAGTATGGATTTGTCCGCCTTGATGGCACCATGTCCATCAAGAAGCGCTCGAAGGTTGTTGACCGGTTCAATGACCCGGAGTCGGACAGTTTCCTTTTTATGCTTAGCAGCAAAGCCGGCGGATGTGGCTTAAATTTGATCGGAGCGAATCGCCTGTTCATGTTCGATCCCGACTGGAATCCGGCCAACGATGAACAGGCGATGGCAAGAGTTTGGCGTGATGGGCAGAAGAAGCCTTGTTACATTTATCGCCTTGTTGCCGTAAGTATGCAAGTTATTCCACCGAAAACCTATGAAACTAAAGCGGAGAAATGTCTTTTACAGAGTGGTTCCATTGAGGAAAAGATCCTGCAGCGGCAGACGCACAAAAAGTCCCTGTCGAGCACCATTATTGATAACAACGAGTCGGCCGAGAAGCATTTCACTCGTGACGACCTCAAGGACTTGTTCACATTTGATGCAAATATCCTATCCGATACCCACGACAAGTAAGAAAAGGATTGCATATTAAATTGTTATTTATTTTAACATATATTTTTTTAAAGACTCAAATGCAAGCGTTGCGTCCAAAATATCCAAACGAAGCCACCGCCCGATGACACGGACTGCACCTCGCATTTGTCCCAATGGTACCATTGCTCCAACAATCGCGGCCTGCCCGATAATATTCTCGCCCAGGCCTGGACGGATAGCAAGTGTGTGTCCTTTGTCTTTCACCACCGGTCGCAGGCCCAGGAGGTTGTGGCCAAGGCTGAGGAGGAGGAACCGCCGGAGGAAAAACCCGCCAGTCGCAAGCGTCCATCAACACCCCTCAGTGATGACAGTGCCGATGAGGACTTCATTGGATTCTAGCAGTTGTTAGCAGTTTATTGTTTATCAACTTGCCGTCGTTCGGTTACTTAGGTCTAAACTTAAGATAGTTTTTCTGGCTTTCCTAGCAATCTTAACAATTAAATAGTTTAACATTTCAAAAATGGAACCAGCACAAAATGTAAACGTGCTAGGGATGAAAGCTCTTATAAACAATTCTGGCAAACTAGGAATCAGTTCAGACAATGAGTTTATTTCTTGTGAAATACTGATTAATTTTTATAGTCTCGAATGGTCACCAATTGTGTCGAATAGTAGGTTAGAAAGCTCAGTACAAATATACTTCGCGCCGTTAGGAGTTTGGAAAAATTCGGATTCTAATGTGGATTTTAGATATTTAAAATTCAACAGCCAACTCCGCTAGCACGTTACTCTCTGCACATAATAAGCAACACGGCATATAGCAACGTCCGGATTAAAACCCTGTCAGATACAGACTAATATTATGTGTGTGTGTGTATATATATAAGTATTAAACCATTCGCAGTGTTAACACAGTCAATTGAACACTTGATGCCTCGAAGTTATACATCAATGATTTTATGCTCCAGCTCCACCCAGACATTGCTCTTTTCTGGCGCTTTCAAAAGAGGCGAAGGCTGCTGCTGTAGCTCGGCTAAAAATCCTGCGATTGCCTGGTAGTACCTAGAAAGGAAGAATTCATGTGGTGAATAGGAAGAGGCAATCTTCTACCAGTCCATACCCGTCCACTATCCAGGTGTCGTTGTGCGATCCTCCGGGGAACTCAAGCAGGCGCTTTAGCTCGCTGCCGCATTTGGTATATAAGGCCCTCATCATGCGCGGTGGCACCAAGTTGTCCGCAAGGCCCGATATAAACAAAAAGGGGACCGAACACTTGCCTATCTTGCTCAGGGAATGGTACTGCAAGGGGATGAACACCAATAAAGTTTAACATAATAAAGAAACGACGACGCCTTACCTTATTCTTAAACAATAGATTTGGTATATACTTCACAGAGGGATGAACCAGCTCCACGGCCATTTCCGGTATGCTGCTAAATGTGTTCTCCACAATTGCGCACATTAGCTTCTGGCCATAGACGGTATCGGCCGCCACGTCCACGACGACAGCTCCGCCCAGGGAGCGCCCGAAGAGGATCAGTTGCGAGTGGTCCAGGTCGTGGCGGGTGTGCAGGTAATCAATGGCGGCCCGTGCATCGGTTACCAATCCTCGTTCAGTGGGCACACCGTTGGAGAGTCCGTAACCACGATATTCCACCATTAGAATATTGCAGTGCAGGTGGTGGTAGATTCCCCAAACCTAGAAAGTGGAGCACAATGCTGTGATAATGAATACATAGGTATATTTTAAGCTCCACCTACGTTCTGCATGCGGTGTCCCATGTTGCCAGCGTTGCCGTGGAAGTAGAGCAGCGTGGGCACCGACTTGGAGCGCTCCTCCGGCTGGATTATCCAGAAGGCGTGCAGGGTGACATTGTCGGGGGTTTTGATGCTGACCGTAATGTGGGGCAGGTTGTGCATCGTCGGAATGGGTATGTAAATGCGGGAGTTGGCTGGCAGGTCCGGATGATAGAGCAGCAGGTCCTGGGCATAGTAAAATATCACTGCAACGAGAGATTGGTGTTAGTAAAGCCAAATGGCAGGTCGAGGAGGATACGTACACAGGATGATTCCAGCGAAGAGCGCCAACGTCATGTAACCCCCGTAGAAATAGTAGAAAATGAAGCACAATAGGAGGGCCGCCAGTACTCCCACGCCCACGCCTCTCGACTTGGGCAGAGCAATGCCCACTTCTTTCATGTTCGCCTTATTGTCCAGCTTCGCTACATGTCCAGTGCTCTAATTTAATTAAATTGCATTAATTCCAGCACCAGAACGCAAACTATTGTAATTGTACACCGCCTACAGCTGACTTCGAAGACACCTGTGCGGTGCGATAACTTATCGATTACGGAGTACAGTGAGCACTAGCTATCGGCTACGGCGATTATGTCTAGAAGAAGTGAGGGCAATGAAACCGATTTTGTAAGACGAAAACTTTTAATTTCGGTATTATTAATATAATTTATTAATAGATTTGATTTTTTGGAAGTTAATTCTTTGCTAGGATTTCCTTTTATTCCGTAGAGATTACCTTTCAATGTTTTGTGCAACTTTTAAAAATCTATCGATTCGGCTATTGGTCGACTTTAGTTGAAAATAAAAATATTTTCATTATATTGATTTAAATTTTTAAACTACATTAGGTTGTTATTTTAGCAATGATATGTGTAGAAAAAGTAAATAGTGAATTTGAATATAACTTAACTGTGCTTGAATAAACGGTTTTATATATTTATTTTATATGTGTTTTAACGTGTGTAAATTAATTAAACAAAAATTATTTAATATTAATTTTTCAGTACGATACATCCCATATCATCACTGTCGCGAAGTGCCGTCCCTAGTGCAGAAAGCGCGGTCACACTAATCCAAGATGGTGGAAAGATTTCTGCTGCGTCGCATGAGTAAAACGTGAAAAACGATCTTTTTGTTTCGAAAAAGTGCATTTAAAAACAAGTGGCCTGCAGGAAAAACATAAACATTCGCCAGCGACCGTATGCAAGTGAATTGCCTGTATTTAATGAGCGCTACAAGGCAACTGTGTGTGCTACCACGACAATATAATGAGCCAGGTGAGTAGGCCTTGAAAAAGCTGTGAATATCGAACGTCGGTGTGTGTGGAAAAATCGGAAAAACTATGAATTTCTTCTATCATTCGAAACGGGACGGATCAAATCGTTTTGATCCCAGTTGTCGTGTGAGTATGAACGGAAAACAAGTGCTACATACTGGGGAAAACGCTCCGTTTTGTGGGCGTGGCTGACTCAGCCCCAAAGTCCGTACAAGTCCCCTCGTCGCGAGACACCCGCACTTTGATGGCTGGCAGTGCGGCTGCTGGGGGACCATTTGGACAAAAGGATGGATTTGACCACTAATCCAACTGTGTTTCATCCATCCAACAGTGCCCCAACGCTCCCAAGACTCCAACGTGGCACCCAAGGTGGATTTTGTAAAAATCCATTGGGTACCCATTTTCGCAAATTCTACTTAAATTCAAGAATTTCGGTTTGTTTTTATCGAATGCGGCTATAAAAATCCTTCAAATTGCATGGATTCCATTGGTTTTTCGTCCAAATTGAAAATTTTCATCGATTACGTAATCAGAAATTGCTAGGTGCAAAGTTTTCTCTCGCAGATTTCTGACCAAATTCCTGGGGATTTCGAACCCGCCAAAAGGCAACCGGCAATCAATTTCCATTAATTCCAGCTCTTTTTGTTAGAAACAATTATTAAAAATAATTTTTCCCCATTTGCCAACTATATTTCCACAGTTTTGTGCCTTTTCAGGGAAAGATCACGTCCAGGAGATCGAAAACCCGCTTGTTTTTAAAGGATTTCCTGGTTTTTGCCCACCAGGAAGTAGTGTCTTGTGATTACCGCGTTCCGTGTGAAGTGGTCATGTGATTCCTCCTTGTATTACCCGGAACCGTGAAACTTTATAGATTTTTTCCACATTTTTGATCCCTAGAAGTGCTTTAAACGAATTTCTGGAGAGGATTGGGGCTGTAAGAGCCACTAACGTGCACTTTACTAAAACTTTATCCACTCGGTTTAATTTTATAACCTATGTACGAAAGCCCAAGATTCATATTTTCAAAGTTAAACTTGATTTTATTAAGAATTCTTCGATTTTAAAGTTGGGTCTAAATCTGGCAAGGACTAGGCTTCTTTCTTCTTCCAAAAAGCCAGTTTGAGTCTTGCATAATATTCCTTTGGTTAGGTATGACAGTGCTCTGCCTTTAAGGAGTAGAATAAGAGGAATATCAAACCTTTTTTACCATTTTCGGTACACTTTAACAAAGTGCTGTGGGATTCTGGCCAGGATTAGCCGGCTCAAAGCCCATGTTCATATAGGAAGTGTTTTATTTCTCACGGTTTATCTGATACCAAGTAATTTACCCTCAGCCTAGATTAATTTCACGTTTCTTTTCTTTCCATCCGCCCAGGCACTCAATGAATCGGCGAATAGTATTGGCTCAGACGAACAAGATGACACTCGGGAGACCAATGGCACCGACCATAGTGGCAGTGGCAGCGGTAGTGGCTCGTCCGGCTCCGATTCAGACTCGGACAGCTCCTCGGGCAACTCCAGCGATGGACGCAGTTCCCCGGAACCAGAGGACAAATCAATTTCGGTGGCAGGATTTCCACCGACAGCCGCTGCTGCCCAGGCGGACAGCAAGACGAACGGGTTCACAGACGACCAGGAGGACAGCTCCAGTGACGGGTCGAGTGGCAGCGATTCCGATTCGGATGCCGAGGGCCCATCCGAGCAAAGGGACCACAACCAGAGCAACAACAATGCCAACACAAGCAGCAGCAGCTTGTCTAAGCCGGAGCAGAATGAGGAGGAGGAGGACAATGAGACTGAGGCTGGTCAGCAGCAGCCAGCCAGCGACGCCTCTGCCGATGAAGCAAGTGATAGTTCTGCCAATGTCTCGCCCACATCCTCCAGCAGCAGCAGTGTAAGTGGGGATCCGCGGTCATTTCTCTAAAAGTTCCTAACCTTTCTCCACAGGAGGAGGAAGAGGAGGACTACAGACCCAAACGGACGCGCCAGGCGCGCAAACCACCGACTGCTGCAGAGAAATCAAAGAAAGCTCCAGTTCCCAAGAACAAAAAGAAAACGTGAGATCCTCAGCTTTCTCTTTCTTAACTTTTTTTGCAAAACCAATCGTTTAATTTGCCAGCTGGGACTCGGACGAAAGCGATGAGAGCGACGACAGTGATGAGGATGTGTCCACCGCCCAGAAACGCAAAGCTGCAGCCACTACCTCTAGAAGCAAACCCGCACAGCAACAGCAGCGACGCAGGGTAAAGTCTTTCAGTTCCGAGGACAGCGATGATGACGATGCCAGCAAACGGTAATGATCCCAATCCTGATGCTTCATTCCCTTTCCTGATCCATGTCAATCCCTCTCTGATCAGCTGTGCCACCCGCCGCACGGCCGCCGCAGTTAGCTACAAGGAGGCCTCCGAGGATGAGGCTACTGACTCTGAGGATCTGCTGGAGTTCGAGTACGATGAGAGCCAGGCAGCAACCACAGCCGCCGCAGCCGAGGAGGAGGAGAAGTGCGAGACCATTGAGCGCATCCTGGCCCAGCGTGCTGGCAAGAAGGGATGCACAGGCAACCAGACAACGATCTATGCTATCGAGGAAAACGGTTTCGATCCAAATGCTGGATTCGATGAGAAGCAGTGTCCAGATGCAGAGGCCGAGACGCAGTTCCTGATTAAGTGGAAGGGCTGGTCGTACATCCACAACACCTGGGAATCGGAGGCTACCCTGCGCGAAATGAAAGCCAAGGGCATGAAGAAGCTGGATAACTTCATTAAGAAAGAACAGGAGCAGGCCTATTGGCGGCGCTACGCCGGTCCAGAGGACATCGACTACTTCGAGTGCCAGCTGGAACTGCAGCACGAGCTGCTAAAGTCATACAACAACGTAGACCGCATCATAGCCAAGGGCTCTAAGCCGGATGACGGCACCGAGGAGTATCTGTGCAAGTGGATGTCGCTTCCGTACGCGGATTCCACATGGGAGGACGCAAACCTGGTGCTTCGCAAATGGCAACGCTGTGCGGAGCAGTTTAACGAACGCGAGTCCTCCAAGTGCACTCCCTCTCGCCACTGCAGAGTGCTCAAATATCGCCCGAAGTTCTCCAGAGTTAAGAATCAGCCGGAGTTCCTCTCGGCGGGCCTGGTTCTCAGAGATTACCAAATGGACGGTTTAAATTGGCTGCTCCACTCGTGGTGCAAGGAGAACTCGGTTATCCTGGCCGACGAGATGGGCCTTGGCAAGACTATCCAGACCATTTGCTTCCTGTACTCTCTGTTCAAGCTGCATCACCTGTACGGGCCGTTCCTGTGCGTGGTGCCACTTAGCACGATGACGGCATGGCAGCGAGAGTTTGACTTGTGGGCGCCGGACATGAATGTGGTCACGTACCTCGGAGACATTAAGTCGCGCGAGCTTATCCAGCAGTACGAGTGGCAGTTTGAGGGCTCCAAGCGGCTCAAATTCAATTGTATTCTCACAACGTACGAGATTGTGCTGAAGGACAAGCAGTTCCTGGGCACGCTTCAGTGGGCTGCGCTGCTGGTTGACGAGGCGCATCGTCTCAAGAACGACGACTCGCTGCTTTACAAGTCGCTAAAGGAGTTCGACACCAACCATCGTTTGCTTATCACTGGCACCCCGCTGCAGAACTCGTTGAAAGAGCTATGGGCTTTGCTGCATTTCATCATGCCGGACAAGTTTGACACGTGGGAAAATTTTGAGGTGCAGCATGGCAATGCCGAGGACAAGGGCTACACTCGGTTGCATCAGCAGCTGGAGCCGTATATTCTGCGGAGGGTGAAAAAGGACGTGGAGAAGTCGCTGCCAGCCAAAGTCGAGCAGATCCTGCGAGTCGAGATGACCTCGCTGCAGAAGCAGTACTACAAGTGGATTCTCACCAAGAACTTTGATGCGCTGCGGAAGGGCAAACGCGGCAGCACCTCCACCTTCCTCAACATAGTCATCGAGCTGAAGAAGTGTTGCAACCACGCGGCCCTCATACGACCCTCGGAGTTCGAACTTATGGGTCTGCAGCAGGATGAGGCGTTGCAAACTCTGCTCAAGGGATCCGGCAAACTCGTTCTGCTCGATAAACTTCTCTGTCGCCTAAAGGAGACGGGGCACCGTGTGCTGATTTTCTCCCAGATGGTGCGCATGCTGGATGTCCTGGCTGACTACCTGCAGAAGCGTCACTTCCCTTTCCAGCGACTCGACGGTAGCATTAAGGGTGAAATGAGGCGGCAGGCCTTGGACCATTTCAATGCCGAGGGCAGTCAGGACTTCTGCTTCCTGCTCTCGACAAGAGCCGGCGGTTTGGGCATAAACCTCGCCACAGCCGATACGGTCATTATATTCGATTCCGATTGGAATCCTCAGAATGATCTACAGGCGCAGGCGAGAGCCCATCGTATCGGGCAGAAGAACCAGGTCAATATCTATCGCCTGGTCACCGCCCGATCCGTGGAGGAGCAGATCGTAGAGCGAGCCAAGCAGAAGATGGTGCTTGACCACCTGGTCATTCAGCGGATGGACACCACAGGTCGCACTGTTCTGGACAAGAGCGGCAACGGACACTCGTCCAACTCGAATCCGTTCAACAAGGACGATCTATCTGCTATTCTGAAGTTTGGAGCCGAGGAGTTGTTTAAGGACGAGCAGGAGCATGACGATGACCTGGTCTGTGACATCGACGAAATTCTACGCAGGGCAGAGACCCGCAACGAGGACCCCGAAATGCCGGCAGATGACTTGCTATCCGCCTTTAAGGTGGCCAGCATAGCGGCCTTCGAGGAGGAGCCCAGCGAGTCGGCTAACAAGCATGACAATGATGCCGCAGGCGATGAGGACGACAGCAAGGACTGGGACGACATCATTCCGGAGGGCTTCCGCAAGGCAATTGACGATCAGGCGCGAGCCAAGGAGATGGAAGATCTATACTTGCCACCTCGAAGGAAGACGGCGCCCGCTAACCAAAATGACGGGAAGCGTGGAGCCGGTAAGGGGGCCAAGGCGAAACAACAGGCAGACGAATCCGGCGGCGACTCGGACTACGAGCTGGGCTCCGAAGGCAGTGGGGACGATGGCCGACCTCGCAAGCGTGGACGCCCCACCATGAAGGAGAAGATAACCGGGTTCACGGATGCCGAGTTGCGTCGCTTCATCCGCAGTTACAAGAAGTTTCCTGCTCCACTTCACCGCTTGGAGGCCATCGCATGTGATGCCGAGCTGCAAGAAAAGCCGCTGGCGGAACTGAAGCGCCTCGGAGAGATGCTGCATGACCGTTGCGTTCAGTTCCTGCACGAGCACAAGGAGGAAGAGCATAAGACTGCGACGGCGGATGAGACGCCGGGCGCCAAGCAGCGCCGTGCACGCGCCACCTTTTCCGTGAAGCTGGGTGGCGTCTCTTTTAATGCCAAAAAATTACTGGCCTGCGAGCAAGAGCTGCAGCCGCTCAACGAGATCATGCCTAGCGTGGCCGAAGAGCGCCAGCAATGGAGCTTCAATATCAAGACCCGTGCCCCGGTATTCGACGTGGAGTGGGGCAACGAGGAGGACACCAAGCTCCTCTGCGGCATTTACCAGTACGGCATTGGATCCTGGGAGCAGATGAAGCTGGATCCCACGCTCAAACTCACGGACAAGATTCTGTTGAACGACACGCGCAAGCCGCAGGCTAAACAGCTGCAGACGCGTGCCGAGTACCTGCTCAAGATCATAAAGAAGAACGTGGAGCTAACCAAGGGTGGCCAACGACGGCAACGTCGCCCCAGAGCATCACGAGCAAACGATGCCAAGGCGGCCAGCCAGTCAGCTAGTTCCAATATCGATAGTAAGTCCCACGACGCCGAGGATGCTGGCGTCGATGGACGAGCCGTAGGCGAAAGCAGTACCAGTCAGGTGGATCCATCTACCGCATCGCCGCACAATGCCTCGGCCGCTGAGCAGTCCAGTGGCAATGCAAAGAAAACCAAAAAGTCCAAAGCCAGGTCGAAAAAGACCAGCGCCTCGGACAACAACGGCAACAAGCCGATGCACTTTACGGCCAACAACGAGCCCAGGGCCTTGGAGGTGCTTGGCGACCTGGATCCCAGCATATTCAATGAGTGCAAGGAAAAGATGCGCCCAGTGAAGAAGGCCCTCAAGGCTTTGGACCAGCCGGATGTAAGTCTGTCCGACCAGGATCAGCTGCAGCACACCAGGGATTGCCTGCTTCAAATCGGCAAACAGATCGATGTTTGTCTTAGTCCTTACAGCGAGCCAGAAAAGAAGGAATGGCGCAGCAACCTTTGGTACTTTGTGTCCAAGTTCACTGAGCTGGACGCCAAACGTCTCTTCAAAATTTACAAGCATGCACTGAAACAGAAGACAGGCGGCGGTGGCGAGGCAAAGGGAAAAGGGAAGGAGGCGTCAGGAAGTCCAACCAAGTCCAAGCGCAATGGCCTGTCGGCTGAGGACAAGGAAAAAGAGCGTGATAAGAGTGGGGGCAAGAAAAAGAAGAAGGACAAGGACAAGGAACGCACTGGCCAGTCGCGGTATCCGGAAGCGGGTACACCCTCTTCCGGTCGTTTTAACGACTCGCCTCTTAAGCGCAAGCGGGATGAGAATGATGCTGACGCCAGCAGTGGAATCGCAGGAACTCCCGGCGGAGGAATCGGTGATCACCTCAAGTCGATGTCCTTTAAGCGTCTCAACATGGATCGCCACGAGGAGCGCAAGAAGCATCATCGAGGAGGCGACTACTACGGTGGCCCACCTATGGGATACGAAGGTGGCGGCAGCAGTAGTGCCCGCCGGCAGGGCCCCACCTCCCCCTCCACGCCGAACAGTCGTGGAGGACGGGGTGGCTACGATCCACCGCCTGCTCCATCCGGCTACACCCCGGAAATGGAGCGGTGGCAATCCCGCGAAAGGTAAGGATCGAAATATGCTTATTTAGTCGCCTTGCCGGGATTCCTAATGTGCTTTCCAATTGCAGATATAGCCAGGAATACAAGCGAGATCGCTACGATGGGTATCCACGCAGTGGAGGAGCTCAAGGCAGCTATCATCGCGAACGCGAACGTCGTCCAGACAAGCGCAGGTAATTAAGGAGCTGTCCTTTTCTTCGATGTCTCATAAAAATAGTTATTATTGCTTCTTTATCCGCTTTCATTTGAACTAACTAAAATACTTTGATGTTCTCTTAATTAAGATATCCCTCTGCTCTGCCGCCGCATGGTTACCCAAGCCACTACCTGCCGCCCAACTACTATGGAATGCCGAATGGGGTCGTTCCCAGCCTGCCGCCACCGCCGTCCGGCTACCGCGATCCCCGCGGCTACCCGGTTATGCCGCGAGACTATCCTGCCGACTACAGACGCAGCGACTACGAGCGGCGCACACAGACCTGAGCAGTTGGCTCTCGAACCCGACTGTCGTCTATTGTACATAAAACGCCTAGACTTAAGCCCGGCTGGGAGGGTCAACTCCTGTCCAGCCTCTCGACACAAGAAACCCAACACCTGCATACAATACGTTAAGCGTAGCTCCATACACACCTGTACAAGTAATACCTAGCAGCTAACTCTACATATACTTCTACAAATAATTTCACATCTAATCGCACAGAGGGCATAGAGCACTGCATCATCATCATCCAGGGTTTAGCGGCAATACCTGCAACCTAATCTTAGACTTTCTGTGTATAAATCATAGGCTTTAAACCGTTCATCATTACGAAACATTATTTTTATACTATTCAAATTGTACAGAAGGTGCAGCGGGTTATATGAATGTGTGCTGTGTGCTATGTGGTATGTGGCCCATGATGCGAACAAGTCGTTTAAAAGCTTTTAAACCAACAACAAATTCTCACTATATTTAAACACTAAGATATGTTTGTAAACACAAAAGCAATGGGGGCCGTTGAAGAATCGTATCAAGGTTATGAAGTATAGCAGCAGACTAATCATTTGTTTTATGTCTATATTGCATTCTAACTTTTATATACCGTTTAAAAATAAAGAATCAGCGAATGATCCAGAGAAATGTAATTTAGTTAATATTAAAGATACTAATATTAATGATATATTAATATATAAAGTACGTTGTAGTGTCTGAGAAATCTATTAAATATATATCAATAAATTATAAAATATTTAAATTTAAAAGAAGGCCTTTTGTTGTTGGGTAAATAAAAATAAATGAAATTGTGATAAGGATCTTCAGTTTTAAAAAATGTCTTGATTGATAGCGAGAGTTCCCATGAGTTCCATAATTCCTTTGTTCCATTATCAAGTTTAAGCTTATGACGATATCTTGGCTCGACGCACATGCTCATCAGCTGTTTAAAAACATTTCCAGCCCCCTTTTAGCATAAAAATATGGACAACGAACATGGATCCGAGTTGGGAACCCAGGAATATTGGGAGACCAGTTACAATCGTGAGATTCGGAACTACAAGAATCACGGGGATGTGGGAGAGATTTGGTTCGATGAGGACTCACAAACCCGCGTAATCGACTGGCTGCTGAAACAGGAGGAGATCGGAAAACAGTTGAAGGTCCTCGACCTGGGCTGCGGCAATGGCATGTTCCTAGTGGCTTTGGCCAATGAAGGATTCGACCAGCTGACCGGTGTGGACTATTCCCCAAAAGCAGTCGAGTTGGCCCAGAACATTGCGCTGGACAACCAACTGACAATCAGCTACAAGGTGGCGGACCTGACACAGCCACAGGATGCTCTGGGCCAGTTTGATGTGGTGCACGACAAGGGAACCTACGATGCGGTCAGCCTGTGCCCGGATAATCCCAAGGAGAAGCGTGCTCTTTACCTGGCCACGGTGGAGAAGCTCTTGCGCACTGCCGACAGCCTGTTTGCCATCACATCCTGCAACTGGACAGAAGAGGAGCTGGAGGCAAGCTTTGCCGAGAAGTTTGTTAAGCACCACACTATTCCCACGCCGACTTTTAAATTTGGCGGCAAGGTGGGCAATGTGGTTACCTCAGTTGTATTTAAGAAGGTTCAATAAAGAATATATGAGATTTTGTACGTCGACATGGAAGCAATCTTTCTGTTTTGCAAGAGAAAATAATTCTCGGGATTTAAAAATATAATTTTACTAAAATGTCACATTTTGAATCATTAAAAATATGGATTATATAAAAAATATAAAATGCATCACATAGTAAAATTAAGGTCATGCAGAAATACTTATGATATTGGTTATATTGCACGCTTTCTCCTACAGACAGGAGATCCAAGAGGAGCTACTTCATGGAATGGAATGGCCTGCTCCTCGGCAAAGGCGAGGAAATCCATGCCGTAGTGCTGCATAAGCTTCGTGAGCATGGCGACATCAGCCTCTGCCTGGTGGGCATTGCTGGCTGTTCGTTGGAACTTGGTGGTGTACAGATTTCCCAGATTGTAAACTCCGCGGGGCGGAAAGCGCTTATTCTCGGCACACATTAAACCGCTGAACAGCTGGCGTCTAGAGCGGAACTCTTGCGCCTTCCGCCTAGCAGGGTTCTCCTGCTCCGGATCATCCTCATCGCCATCGCGTAGTAGCCTGCGCTTGACAGAAGATTCCTTGGGCGTCAAAATGGGACGCTTTGGAGTCGTTTCATTTCTGGCTCGCCAATCGATCTCCTTTGCCGGTTCTGGCTCCTTGAAGGTAGTTTCGTCCTCTTTAATGGACACAACTTCTGGAATAGCTTCCGTTTCAAGATCCGGAGTGTCCTCCGTTTCAAGATCCGGAGTGACCTCCGTTTCAAGATCTGAAATGGCTCTTCTTTCCAAAAGGGTTTCCTGCGGGATTTCCAAGAGACTTGCTTCTGTTTTGTGCTTGTCGTCAATCTCCATGAAGGCACGTAGTGAGTCAACACAAGTTATGGACTTGGGGAGCTCCATATTGAGTTTATCGAAGACCTGCCTTAAAATGGGGAAATCGAAACCCCAGCCATTGTGAGCCACCAGGCAAACTGGAGCTGGCAAGTGCTTCAGAAAGCTGATGATGAGTTGCGCGGCATCCTCGTCCAGCTTGGACTCCCGCTCCAGCAGGTAGTTGCTCAGACCTGTAACATGATGAAATTGTTGGGTGAATCGCTCTTTTGTTTCGGTTTTCTTTATAGCCAACCTGTAACCCTCTCTGCCTCCGGATGCACCATCATGGACGGCTGGAAGAGCAGATTCAGCTTGTGCAGCACGCGCGGAGGAGCTGGCACCTCCTGCTTCCGCTTCTCCTCCACATCCTGGGCCACTTCTTTTTTCTTAAGGAGAGCGGCTTCAAAGGCGTAAATGCACAGCTCCGTAATGCCAACCCGATTATGATTGTAGGCAGGCAGATTGGTCGTCTCTAGGTCCAGAACGGCGAAGGTGGAGATCTTCGGCTGATCCTCTGATGGATCCACAACCACTTCAATGGGAGCCATTCGGATATGCTTCTGATCAAGCGTCAGTTTTTAGGTACACAAATGCATATATATTCCGTTTTATTTGAAGTGCATAGTGCTTGCAATAAGAACCTTAAGACATTTACCAACACTGTACGCTGGGACACAAAAAATAGAGATGACACTGCGAAACAATCGTGATTCAATTTTTTTCGTGACACAAAAGGTGAATTTTTTTTATATTTCAAAAGTCAAATTTAAATTATTCTCACTACAGCATACGTTTTTTGGTAACAGTGGGCTATGGGAAAAGTAAAATCTATTTATCTTTTGAATAAAAAAACTTTGAATGGTACTTAAATAATATAGAATATAGAAAAATAAGTATTCTTCCAAAAGAAATTTAATGAATTTTGGTAATAATATACAACAGCCTAGAAATATTTGAAAATTTAATTTTTGCTAAAACTTTTAAGCACGGATCTTTGATTTGCTAATAATAAGGGAAGTCGTGTCACGCCAGTAGGCCAGGACTTTACATGTCAATCTCTAGCAGCAAAAGGTACATTTTATACCCCCACTTTTCCAGTGAACGTCGTTTCGGCAAGTGAACATTCTAACAACTTTTTCGTGTGAGTATTAATTAATCCGGAAATGGAGCCCAGCTACAGGGAAAAGCGGGAGTGGCTTAACAACCGCAGCAATGGTACTTCCAACTATGGAGCCCATCGGGTCACTAGCGGCTACTCCGGCCAATTGGGGCAGCCCCCCCAAACGGGTCGCAGTCTGGGTGGGTGGGCCCCTTGGTCGGGGCCAAACACAACCACAAACTCCACGCCTTACAACTCTTCTACTGATTACCGAAATCCTGCTGCCCCGCAGGCCAACTCTCTTTGGAGCCGCGAAAGAGCCGGGTACCACCGGAATCAAGAACAAGTCCAAGCGAGACCCACTAACAATAACAGCATGAACAACCGATCGTGGTCGGCCAGTCGCGGACCTGCTGCTCCTCCTCCCCCTTCCATCGGGGGGGACCAGTGGCAGGATCGTGGACAGGCACAGGGACAGGGGCATGGTCCAAATCCAATTCCATGTCCAAGTCCCAAAATGCAGTCCATAATGATACAAGCGGAAGAAAAGAATGTACCGAATCACATTCGAGATCAGCTCTTCGGACTTAGCGGCGCTAAACGCAAGTGGTTCTATCGCTACCTCGAAATGGGCTGCAGTCATGAGGATGCCCTATCCAAGTCCTTGGATAGACTGACCAATCCGGTTGGCTTCAAGGGTGGCGCACTCAAGTGGTACGAGAATTACATTGCCAGCGGTTGCACCGAGAAGGAGGCTTGTGCCAAGATGCTGGAGTACAAGCGGAATCATCCACTCAGTCGCGACCGCAAGGTTCCGGAGCAGACAGCTGTTCCGGATGATCGCGGTCGCAAGCGTCCGATCGATGACAACTCCCATGGCGGCAGGGCCAAGGAGGAGCTCAAGAAGCAGCGAAGGGCTGCAGAGTTGCCTCCGAAGCGAAGCTTTGTCATGGCCGTCATGTCGGATAAGTATCCCACATGCGTACTGAGCAAGAAGCAACTGTCTAGGATCGAGGCCGCCCTCGTGGAGGAAATGCGAAAAGGTTGGAAGACCAGTATCAACTTTGGAGGCATCCAATTTCTCCCGGGGCTGATTCTGGTTACCTGCATTGACAGGAACTCTAAGAAGTGGCTGGAGCATGTGGTGCCGAATATCACCGTCATACAGGGGATCAAACTAACCTCCTGTCCGGAGTACGAGATTCCCTCCACCAAGGGGATAACTGTCTTGGTACCGCGCTCCGCCGACGAGCCCGATAAAATAACAACTGAACTTCTGATCGATCAGAATGCAGACCTCCTGTCGAAAACTTGGCAAGTTGTCCGCACTACCATGACCAAGGAGGGCAACAAGCTGATGACGATCACCCTAAGTGACAAGTCCTTGGAGCTGCTGAAGATAAAGGGCATGACAGTTAGCTATCGTTTTAGCCAGCTTTCGTGTCGCCTAATGAGCGGCAAGGATGCTCTTAAGTCGGTTCGCGTCAACTACACGGAGCCCCGTCCACTACCACCAAAGAAAGATGCCCAGTCCGCCGAAATCGACCTCACTGAGGAGGATAGTGAAGAATATATTTCTCAGCTTAACCTGGTTGTTGTGGACGAGGTCAAGGGAGATGATGACGAGAACGAAGCGGCTGAAGATGAAGAACTAACTGACGGGGAACACAATGCCCTGGAGATTGTTGAAGAAGAGCACGACGATGGTGAGATTGCTGAGGAGGAGCACGTGGAGGAGGAGGCTGCTGAAGGGGAGTACGTCGAGGAGGAGGCTGCTGAAGGGGAGCCTGAGGAATCATACGAAGTTGAGGAGAGTGTCGGAGACGAGCATGACCAGGAGGAAGAAACTGAGCATGCTGATGAGGAAGAGAATCAGCATGCTGATGAGGAAGTGGTTGAGACTGGGACAACCACCAGAGAATAAGCATCTCCTTGTAAGTATGCACCATTGAAGGAAAGCCAATGCTTAATGGCGATCTCAAGGTAAACGGAGATTTCCCTTTTATAAACACTTGATTAACTTGTTCTCTTTTTTCCCTAGAAACACTTGATGCACTGCAACATTTAAAACTAAACCATTACTTCATTCGCAACACGCCCTAGACATTAGAATTAACCACAAAGAAGCTCGGACATGGATACACATGGTTTAGTAACCAACGAACATAAGTTTTAATCAAATTAAAAACCTCTTGCGGCAGTATCTGGAAATATTGCACATCCTTCCACATTTTGACATCATATTATACATACCAAATCTGTATTATGATTTTCATTAAAAACGGTTGGTTTTGGACTAAAACATGTGCCAAAAACATCAGTAAACTTTGTATTTTTACTTTGTTACAAATACAACTTTTATTGTTTAAACTTTCCTGTTTAATTAGCAACAAACGAAATACAAACGTTTATTTACGTAAAATACGCAACAGCATTAACATACATGCGAGTCTTATAAACAATGTGCTTATTAATACTTTGGGATTTCCAATCCCGACGTCTTCAGAAATTGTAAAATACATTCGAGAAAATGCATGGCACGCATTGTTGATGGCAAGAGCAAACTAGACACCGCCGCTAGTCCCTGACCGTCCGTCCTCCGACTTAGCGTCCCCAGCCCCAGCAGCTCCCCTCTTTACAGAAAACTGCATGTAATCCTCGCGAGTGGCTGCCGCATACTCTTGCACTAGGCAGTCGACAATTTCACGCGATTCGTCCAGCTCCGAGAGGTCGTCCTTGAAGATGTCCTCGCGTCGGAACTGATCAAGAAAGGCTCCACGCTTGCGCAGCTTGTCATACTGGTTAAGTGTCCGCTCGAACAGCGAGCAGATGCTGGTGTGGTTAGCCAGCATCAGGCCGGACACGCGATGGTTACTCTGCACGTAGGGCGATGAGCGGGAGAGGGCCACCTGGATGGAGGTGGGGCCCCACGGAATAAACTGGGCCATCTTGCGATCGCGAATACGCTGCAACGACTTGTGCACCTGCGAGGGATCCACTTCGCCCTGGATGATGTTCAGTATGGATATGTAACAGTGGTGATTGGATTTGTCCGGCCCAGTGGATACCATCATGTTCTTGGGCTGCAGAAGGCGACGCATTACGTCCAGCACGGTGGTCTTGCGCACATTAACCGTTTGCTGACTATTGACATCCGAATCGCTGGTCAGTGGCGTGTAGCCAGTCATGAGGAAGTGCAGCTGGGGCGTCGGGATCAGTGGGGCCATCAGCCCGATGAGATTGTTGTTCATGTAAGAGGGATACCTCAGCGTGGTGGTGCTCACGCTCATTATGGTGGAGACCAGGTTGTTGATCTGCGAGAAGCTCGGATTCTGAATGTGCAAGCGATCACAGGCTATGCGGTTGAGGGCCGTGTTGTCCAGGACAACCACACTGTCTGCAGCGGTGGTCAGACGCCGCAGGGTTAGCATGGAGTTGTATGGCTGCACCACAACATCGCTGATCTCGTCCTGATTGGGGAAGACACTGTATGTCTGAATGAGCTTCTTGGGATAGCGGTCCGCCAGGCGCTCCATGATGAAGGAGCCCATTCCCGAGCCCGTGCCGCCGGCAATCGAATGGCAGAGTATGAATCCCTCCAGGGAATCGCTGCCATCGGCCTCACGATCGATAATGTCGAATACCTCCTCCTGCAGCTTGTCGCCCTGGCTATAACCGGAGGCCCAGTTGTTTCCAGCGCCACCGCCATGCTTGGATAGGTAAACATTCTCCGGATTGTAGAGCTAACGGAAGTACAAGTGATGTCAGCCTTGGAAATTAAAAGACCTATGGCTATGACCTACCTTGGAGTAGGCAGAGCCCATTATGGTATTGATCACCCTTGGCTCCAGGTCCAAGAGCACTGCGCGCGGTATGTAATGGTCGTCGTCCGCCTGGTAAAAGAAGACATCCTTGCGGTCCATGCCATCGTTGGCGAAGTCCTCCAGCACGCCGCTGGGCGAGATGCCATGCTCCAGGCATAATCTCTTCCAGAACTCAAAGCCAACTGCGTTAAAGGAATCTTAGCAAAGCGAACGAGGCTCGTCCTTGTGTTAAAAACCTACTCTGATTGCCGCACTGCCCGAGCTGCAGGGTAATTATTTCACTTGGCATTGTCGTTGGTCGTTGTTGTCCGCCAGAAATGTCAGGTAATGTTTAGGGTTTAATGTCTATTTGTTCGGAATACAATAAAAACAAACTAAAAAACCATCGGAATGTGGTCAAAAAATTTAAAAATTGCCACAGCGGGGATGTATTTTTTGCAATTGCTGCTGACCAGTGTTAGAAACGCCGCAATGATCCAATGCAGAGCGTATTGGAAGGTGCCGTATGAAGTCAGCGGTTAATGTATGTATGTTCTTGCTATTCAAAATTAAATTATTTAAAATAAAATGTAATAATTTTTGTGATAATTACATGTGCTCCTTTCCTGTTTGTGAAAATCAAGTCCTCTTCTCATATATAATTGAAAAGCCTTTAAGATAAAATACAAATTTCTTCTTCGGATAATTTAATGTAATTTATTTTCTTTTTTTTATAATGAAATGACCTTTTTTACTTTTTGTGATAATCAAGTGTCATTTGAAATTAAAAAGATTGAAGCTTTTGCTTAAAATCCAAAGATTCCGCAATGCAAGCCACTTATAAGATGCAATGTTTTTACAATTTTTGTTATAATCAAAAAACTGTTATGAATTTTAATCAAAGCCAGCTGAAAGACGCATAATTGTTCTTACAAGTTCTTTTGTACTCAACTTGGAGGCCATTTTAATTTGACTTCTGACGTCACAGATTCTTGCAATTGTGTTCTTCAAGGGATGGAACCAAAACAGTGTTGTAAACCGCGCAGGCAACCGGCTTGAAGAAATCGCGTTGCGTTGCCCGCGCAGTTTTCTTTTTGTTGATATCGGGTGCAGACCAAGCGGCATTGCAAAATACGCAAAAACGACAAGACCGGAAGATCTGTGAAAATATATAAATTTTAAAGTTATCAGTTTAATTATTCGAACCCAACGCAGAACTCCATAATGCCTCGTGCCAAGGCCGTCAAAAAACCAGCAGAGGCGGTGGCATCTGAACCCACTGACCCCACTCCAAATGGCAATGGAAATGTCGCTGACGATGATGCTGCCCCTGCCGCCGAGGAAGCCAAAATTCCGGCGAAGGGGAAGTCTCGAGCGAAAAAAGCCGCCAAGGCGACTGTAGTTGCGGAAAACTTCGAGGAAATCGAGGCGGAAAAGCCTTCTGCAGCAGCTGCACGTGGCAAGAAGAAGCAGCAGCCGAAGGATACAGAAGAAAACGGCGAGAGCGAGGCGGTGGCCAAGCCAAAGGGACGCGCCAAGAAGGCGGCTGCAGTGGTGGAACCCAAGGCCGATCCACCAGCTGCTGGCCGGTCCTCCAAGTCGCGGGCCAAGAAGGAGCCTACTCCTGCTCCCGAGGAAGAGGTCCTTACCACCAAGGGACGCTCCAAGACTGAGAAGCCAGCCACTGTCCAGGAGCCCAAGGGAAAGGGACGGAAGAGGAAAGACACGCCGGCAGAGGCCAATGGAGAGGCCGAGGAAGTGGCTGAGCCACCAAAGCGACGGGCCAAAAAGGAGGCCACACCGGCTCCACAGCCAGAGCCAGAGCCTGTGGCACCGCCTAAGGAGAAGGCCCCAAAAGCTGAGGCAGCTGCAAAGCGGGCACGCGGAAACAAGCGCATGGCGGACTCGGAGATTACAGCTGCCCTCGAGGAGGCAGACGTGGATGAGGAGCCTCCAAAGGCGGCCAGCAAGCGAACCAAGAAGGGAAAGGCGGTTGAACCGGAACCCGAGGCTGTAGGAGATTCCGAAATAGTAAAAGATGAAGTGGAATCCGCACCAAAGGCTACAGCTGCATCCAAAAAACGAACCAAAAAAGTAAAGGATGAGGAAGGAGTGGAAGAAAATGAGCCGAAGGCAGAGGCAAAGCCCACCAAGCAGCGCGGCAAGAAGGAAGCCAAGGAGGAGCTGCCTGCGCCCGCAAAAAAGCGCGGGCAGAAGGCATCCGGTGAGAAGGAAAACGGTGTGGCAGCCGAAACCGAGCCGCCGGCTGAAAGCAAACCAGGTATGTTACTCTTTAGGACCACATAAATCTTAAAACAACTTTAAACCAATTTTTATCCCCAGCTCGTGGTCGAAAAAAGCCAGCAGCTAAGCCAGAGGCTACTGAAGAAATTGATGGAGCAGCTGAGAGTAAACCAGGTGGGTAAAATCCCAGAAATTACGAATATAACAATGCCATACTCAACTATCATCTATCCGCAGTTCGAGCCCGAAAAAAGGCGGCTGTCAAGGCTGATGATCCCGAAGACGATGATGCGGAGGTCAGCTCGAAAAGTATGTTGGTGGAGCAATCCGGCTGCGGTGGAGCTGCCGTTTTAAAAAGCTTGCAAAACATGCTCAACTTCTGTTTTCCAGCAACCAAGAAATCCAAGAAGGCCGAGGGCACTTCCAGTGTAGCATTGGATAAAGATGCGTTCGCCTTGCCAGCCGATAAAGTATTCAACTTGAAAATCACCAGCTGGAATGTGGCCGGTCTGAGGGCTTGGTTGAAAAAGGATGGTCTTCAATTGGTTGACCTCGAGGAACCGGACATATTCTGCTTGCAGGTAAGCTACCATCTTGTCAATCTTAGGTAAACGCTTATCCTTACTTCATTTAAAGGAAACCAAGTGCGCAAACGAGCAACTGCCGGAGGAAGTGACCCGTCTGCCGGGCTACCATCCCTACTGGCTGTGCATGCCAGGTGGCTATGCTGGGGTCGCCATTTACAGCAAGATCATGCCCATAAACGTGGAGTACGGCATTGGCAACGAGGAGTTCGACGATGTTGGGCGCATGATAACGGCGGAGTACGAAAAGTTCTACTTAATCAATGTTTATGTGCCGAATTCGGGCCGAAAGTTGGTTAACTTGGAGCCACGCATGCGCTGGGAGAAGCTCTTCCAGGAGTACGTGCAGAAACTGGACGCTCTGAAGCCGGTTGTCATCTGCGGCGACATGAACGTTTCTCACATGGCAATTGATTTGGAGAATCCGAAGACCAACACCAAGAATGCCGGCTTCACCCAGGAGGAGCGTGACAAAATGACCGAGCTGCTGGGCCTCGGTTTTGTGGACACCTTCAGGCATCTGTATCCCGAGCGGAAGGGCGCCTACACCTTCTGGACTTATTTGGCCAATGCGCGAGCCCGCAATGTCGGCTGGCGTCTTGACTATTGCCTGGTCTCGGAGCGATTTGTCCCAAAGGTGGTGGAGCACGAGATTCGCTCGAAATGCCTTGGAAGCGACCACTGCCCGATAACC